TTCCTTTACAAATTCCTATTATAACTTGCTATGAAAGCTATACAGAAGGGTTGTTTCTAATAGGGACCAAGTCTACTTCCAAGATGAGCCTCGGGCTATATAAGAATATACGCGTCTTGAAGTTCATACAGAAAATAAAGGTGTTCCATTCAAGAAACGGTCCATTCATATCTTTCCAGGATAAAACAAATCAACATGACTTTTCTTAGTTGTCCAAGTTTTTCAGCCTCAGCGATAAAACCCTACCAGCGCAATTTTTTCTTACTTAGTATTCAATTTAGAGGATTTAAAGGCACAGGTGGCATGCTAATTCAACTTGTTTCCAGTCTTGTTGGCTCAGTAGCTTATTAATTAACGATCCTCGCTGATTTCTCATTATGAAGCAGAGTTTCTGAGAGAGTTGACTTCTTTTCTCTTGTGTATTCCTTTTAAAAAGTGATTGCAATGTGCCTCACTTTCCAAACAAGCATCTGGACAAAAATATATTACGGATCATCCCAACGAATAAAAACTGCACAGCTTATGTTCTCTTTACTGGAATCAACTGCGCACAGCACCGTGGGGCGGTTTGTTATTTCTTTGGACATGTACAGAAGGATAAAAATATTTAATGTCGGATTTTAAGTGTTTGATGTATTGTTGAATTCATCTCTACAAAACGCGAGACACAAGATTCCCTGATTTTGTTGAAATTTTTCGTTCGCGGACGAATGCCGGTATTTCCACGCACCACCATACTAACACACGTTTTGTGTTAACAGGACATTTATAAATCTAAGTGTGTACAACAGAAACATCACGTTTGATAACCACTCTGGTATTGAGTTTCGCAAAATTGATACACATCTCGATTTTTCTTTTTTTCTCGAGTCTTGACGCACACTAGAGCGACTTAGTATGGGAAGTCGAACACGATTTTAAAACTTTGACAGCGAATATCTTCATTACTACAAAACGGAAAAGTTCAAAAGTAATTTCTTTTGGTTTTCTTGTAGAATTTTCTACAGGAGGCAACTGACAAAAATTAAAAAATGACTGAATGAATATAAAATTTTGTGATTTTAGTCACATTTTTCGTATCCGAGCTCGCCGCAAGACTCGTTCCACTGTGTGACGGGGCGGCGATAAATCATTTATGCAACTTTACAACTAGCGATGAAAACAGAGTCACATTACTCAACAAGGCGGAAAATTCTGACCTTGATCGTACTAGTTTTAAGTACTTACGAGACTGGCATGCATTAAAAGTCAGATACAAATCGTTCCCCGGTGTCTTGCTTACCTGCAACAAATAAGGAACAAAATAAAATTAGAATCAATTGATAATCGACTGGAAAGCTCGCTGAAAAGCACAACTAATCGTGACGCAGGAGTTAATTAGCATGATTCGAGATACGGTGAAAAGACAAAAGCGATTGATCAGCGTTTACTTGCGAGTATACTCGCGCTTATTGCATGTGCGGAAGAATCTGAATTCGATCGTTTTAAAGGGACAGGTCTGACTCAGGAACAAGAAGAAACGGTTGACGATACCCCTAACATATTGAGTCGATGAGTGCTCAATTTTATAAGTTCTATGACTAGAATACTGAATACGCTTTATGCATGACTGGTGCATGTAAATTGTCCAGGATATTAAAGTATTACTGCGAAACAAATCTGAGTTTGTCTCCACTATTTAAAAAGGTTTATGAGACATTCAAAGGGGAAAGGGTGGAAGGAGTGAGACGCTAAGGGAATGGGCAGAACATTTCAAAAAGGCAAAAGACCGGCTAAAGAGTGAGGAGTCTCACGAAATTTCCGGGGGGAATGACCCCCATACCGTCTTTGACACCCTGCCAATGAGAAAAAAACAGGTTGGGAAAGACACAGGTCTTGATCAACCCACAAGACAATTTACGTTCAACCTCCTAACATGCCAGTCAGCCTGGACATACTCAAATCTCACTCGAACATACGACTGTACGCATCGGTGTATACTGTACTTATCCCATTGTCTCTTCTGTTAGAAATGATTCTCAACGACTTTATCGGATTGAGATTCAGAGGCAGTTAGTGTTCATCTGATTTCTGCTGTTTTACTCAAGGTCGTTGACGCAGAGGAGAAAAAACAATCAAGCCTCCAGGGGGCGATTTACATAAACGCGAAAGGTATTTTTTCCAAGAAACGATTAAATCCATTTCGTCGCATGCATTCCAAATTCAAAGCGTTTGCCGATTTACTATTATTACCGACGGATCATCCCGGAACTCTCTGAAGGACTGAAAAATGTACAAAAATAGCTCACAAATACTTCTCCATAAGGGGTTCTACAATACGTAAAAAATTGCGATTCTAAACGAAGAAGAAAGAGTGAGAAAAAACCATCGATTTTCACTAAAAAAATGAGTCGTATGTGACCACGATTGAGTTCGGTAGATTTCCGATCCATGAGCTGGGGGAACAACGACTCGCAACATTCTGAGTTACTCATTGGAAAGCGGTGGGCATGAATCAGAGAACTCCGTAATAGGTGATATTCCCATTCTCAGGTATTTCCGACGTCATTTCATTCTTGTCTTGATAACGGGATGGGTTTCAAAGAGGAGGAAGTCTATTCAAGATGTCCAGGATACTCTTATTACTTGAATATATTGACGTTCTTTAAGACATAGCGACCGATGCTGTCTTTTCATTGAAACTAAATGAACAATAATATTTCAGTAAGATTAATTAGGAGTTTCGTAGAATTATTTCACTGTGGCTGATGTTTGAATCGATGGACGCTTTCACCGAGAGATCAGTCTGATTAATTTTACATGTACCTAATGAGGACCATTTCGACTAAATATCATGCGATGGAATGAGCAAGAATCGTAAATCTAACTAAAAGTTTCCGTTTACCGCTACGAAAGGTACACGCACCGATCGCTTCATCCGTTTCTGGATCTACTAACCTCGTAGACACCCTCCAGCCAACTATTGGAACAAATAGGGGGGAAAACAAGTAAAATGTTCAGGAATCGATAACTTTCTCATTGCTTATTTTTACCATGTTTTAGACGAGTTTGGTCTCTTTTGTCATATTTCTGCTCAAAATTTTAAGTAAGTAAACGTAAGCAAAACTCAAGTTTCGATTTCTTTAATTTATATTCAACTAAAACCACGCAATAATTAACATCTTTCAAATACGCAGGGGATTATTATTAAAAATTGTTGACTCTACCCAGTTTGACCACTTTCACATGAAACTGATCACATTTACATGCAACTTTTAAGCGTGTACGGATACTAGCTTTGCGTGAGGATTAGTTCCTCACCCCATTTTCCTCTCTTTTTATTCTGACTCTTGATTTATTATTCCATTACTGGAAACTCGAAAGAGGTGTGAGAAGAGGTAGTGCCCAATGTTTCTTGGTGAATAGGGTGTGAAAAACTTGATGAAATTCGCAAACTTCTTGACCTTCCTCCGTATCATTTTCCTTCCGCCTTACTTAGGATTGTGGAAATTTGGAGTGAAAATATCGAGTCGTTTCCCCCTTCCTTCCAGGGACGCCATCTCAGTCAAGTTGAGGGGAGGACTTCAATAGAATCTCGAAAAGTGCTCTAAAATCGATCAAACTTCATCAATGTGGCCTTAGTAAGATTTTATTGAACGGCTACTTTTACTGGCATGAAAATTTCGAGACGGAAAATAAAGTTGGTTCGAGTAAACAACCCGAATAAGCGGTCAAGCCGAATCTGACACGTAAAAACGTTGTTTGGAGATGTGGAAAGTTTAAGAGGAAAATTATAAAAAAATGAACTACTGCCTTCTTTGTGGACTGACGGGACTTTAAGGAAGATTCACGAAGGACTGACAAGGGAAGTGGGCGTCAAAAACTTCCCTAATATTAAGTCTTCTGAGGTACTTAAGTAATGACCTTCACGGAAAAGAGAAAAAATTCAAGCTTAAATTCATTTTTCAAGAGTTTATGAATCTTATTTTAAAATTGATAAAACGCAAGTTACGTCACAATGTCCCATACATGTTAAAATGGACCTTCTTAGACATTTAGAAGAAAAGTTACCCTCCTCAAAAGCTCTCCTGGCAAAGTTCTCGGGCACGGATCTTAATGGAAAGGGTGAGAAAGTAAGCACCACAACATGAGTGTCCTCATTAGAATTTCAAGTAAAACACGGTAGGTACGTCTAAAAATTTCTAAATTTTCAAACTTCTCGCATGTCAAAAAATCAAGGTACAACTTTCAGTGATTCTTCTGATGAAATAACCTTTACAGTCTGCTCAATTTTCCTTGTAAGCTTACAAATATCGTGCACGAAACTGCGGGGGGAATTTTTGTCGACATTCTGAACTGTGTAAATGCTAAATGCTGTCTAAATGCATTCTAAGTGTTCGTCTTTTGAAATGATGAGTTGGTTTTTGATATCACATTTGTTAATTTATGCTGATTTTGGTTTTGTATACATAACGCCACATTTGAATTTGCTCATTTCAGTGTACACTGGAAAAAAAGCACATTGGATCTAGAGTCCAGACTCTTAAAAACATCGACAAGAAAAAGTACTCTTGATTAAATCAGAATCTACCTTAAATCAAGAACCAAGCCTCTTAATTTAAGCGGATTTTGTTTTGATTCAAGCAAAAATCCGATCTAATCAAGAGTATTTTCTCTTTTCAATGTTTTCAAGAGTCTGGACTCTAGATTCAATGTGTTTTTTTCCCGGTGTAACCTGTAAGCACAAAATCCTTGATTTCGGACTTTCTCAACATGTTTAACGAGGTATACATGTTACACAGTTAACATGACTACCGGGTTTTGCGGTAAATTTTGATGAGGAACAAGTAAATATTGTGATGCTTCACTCTTACACTGGTCCACTATCAGGGATATTCCCGGTAGCTCTTGAATGCGCGGGTATTTGCCTGTTAAACTTTCCCGGGAATGTAGCTTTTAGCCGGGAATTTCCGGGAACTTTCTCTTGGATCCTATACCCGGACGAGAGAAGAAAGTCGTACCTGTGCTTGGGAGGGGCTCGATCGAGCGGGAAAGGTTTGCGTTCACAATCCACCTTAAAGCGATGCACGGCACTCAGGCGCGATTGATGATCCCACACGAATTCTGAAGATGCACCATCGTGAAGAAGCTCGAGAACACGCGAAATCCTTAAAACCCCGATTCCGAGAGAAATTCCGAGCGTAAACAAAAGCCGGGTCGCTGGGAAAACGGACGCACTGTTAACGTGTCACCTGCGCACTGTTTCCGTTTCCGGGCTGCTGTCGGGCGCGCGCACTGGGAAACTCTCGTGGAACTGGAAAACGGGGGAAAACGGGCGAAAGCGCGAAAAACGAACGAAAAGCCTCGAAAACAACTTGATCTTGTTTCGATTGCTCTTGAGGACGACGACTCGATCGCTGCACGTCTGGATGCGGACTGCTCGGCTCGCGACGACGCCGCGACGACCGCCAGACGAGACGGGAGATGCAGACGGATACGCACTTGCCGGATCCGCGTCCGCGATATTGCGCTCTTCGCGGGAAATTACGCGATTTCCCGCCGCGTTCGGCAACGCAGCCTCGCCGTGCTCAAGCGGTGATAAGTCGTGAGTTTGCACCGTAGCCCCGAGCTCCCGCTACCATATTCGCATCGCCCGAATTCAAGGCTTCGCTTTGGCATTGCAGTTCGCGGCGTGTCACTCAAGAAAATATAGAAAAAAAAAGGGGGTGGGGTTGGACCTACTAAGGACGCTTCAGAGGGTGATTTTTCGCGAGCAAATTTCTTAAATTCAAATTTTGATAGAACATTTAAAAAAAAAAAAAAAAAAAAAAAAAAGTCGGCCATTATCATCATCAATCATAATAATCCTTTCTTGTTCCTTCTCATTTTCTACATTGTGAAGTTTCTTCTCTCAAATGAGTCATGGATCCTTGCTTAACATCGTTAGTTAAAAAAAAATTGATTTTTTTTTTTTTTAAAATCCAAACTCGTACATAATGTACTAGATTAAGGAGTTCAAACTACAAGGAAAAAAAATTGCTGATTCAACAATTCAATTGCTAAAAACAGTGAGTGCAATGTTTCAACGCAGATTTTACAACAAAAAAATGCTACTTTAACCACATTGTAAACTAATTTAACCACGGGGGTGGTTAATGTAGCATTTTTCAGTTGTAAAATCTACGTTGAAATATTGCACTCACTGTTTTTAGCAATTGAATTGTTGAATCAACAATTTTTTTTCCCCCGTGTAATTCTGCCATGCTTGGGAAGAACGCCGTAAGAGCCTTCAGACGTTGCCACGTTTCCTCCGATAAAAACCAAATTTACTGGGAAAATTGTGAATTTTATTTTCCAAAATTTTCAGACAATTTTGTACGCACTTTAATCGAAAGTATCTGAAAATTTCCAGGAAAAATATGCATGGATGTTGTCAAAAATACATGTTTGATCAAGGGACATTTGATAACTCTCGAATGTTCATGCGGCGTTCTTCCTTAGGACGGCATAATTGAAAATTGTCGCGTTCCCGATTCTCATTGATTGCTGAAAGCTGCGTCGAGTTCCTCCGTACGACAAGATCATACAGTGCAGCGTCAACGCACACATATCAACGATCCCACATCTCCAGTGGAAAACTCGCATTAAAAGGCCGAAATAGTCACTTTCCGGCCCCGCTTTTCTCGAAACTGCGTATGAAAATTTTGAATTGTACAAAAAATATCGAAATCTAGCCGGCGCCAAATTTGTTGGTATTAGATGGAGGAAAAACCGGTGTTGCCAACTTTCGCGAATCGCTACTGTTTCGTGAGACGGTGGTGCTGGGGTGACGATGGAGCCAGCGACGACGATTGATTCGGCAGAAAGTGAAAGTACGGAAAATTTCGATCGGTCCGACCAACCAGAAGACAGAAAACGGCGCTATCTGATAAAAATCTCTTCTGGCCCGGATGGTCGGTTCGGTGGCCGGTGCGGCGACTCGAGGGGGCTTGATCGAGTGTGAAATGGAGTTATTCATAGACGCGGGTCAAACCGCGGCCGGCCGCCTTGCCTCCACCTTCCTGCCCTGCGCCTGCCTCCACACTCCACAGTCCACCTTCACGGTCGCGAGTCAATGGCAAGGAGCGCAGCTTATTATTACCGCGCGTCGCACGGTGATCCGCCATTCATCCGCTAAACGCAAGTCGCAAAAATCGTTCGAACCAAGTTCGGAACCCCGTTTTTTTTTTTTTTTTTTTTTTTTTTTTTTTTTTTTTTTTTTACTTTCTCGCTCCCCTTGGTGAAGGTAGAGGAAGTATTGTCGCCCCCCCTCCCCCCAAAAGGTTAAAATTTCATCATTTCTAGGCGTCTGAAGGTGCCTGGAGTAAAAAAAAAACCAAATTTGAAAAAATGTGTGTCCGTCCGTCAGGCGTCCCCCAAATCTGTTTACAGACATAGCTCAAAATCTATTCGTTCAGGATCATTTAAAATTTGCACGGAGGACTGTACATATGGTCTCCCTATTTTTGGTAGCATGAGGTTAGTATATTTTTGACCCAGAAATTTAAAGCTGCAAAAATCATTATTTTCCTTAAATTGTGATGCCTAGATTCCCATATACGGATCTAAGAGGGGGGGGGGGGCAGAAAAGGAACTAACTGCATGGTGACGCTTATTGCTTTTGGAGCACTCCTAAACAACTAACGAGCTTACTCCTTATTTGCCCCGAAAAAAGAAAAAAAAAATTGCTCCCCAAATTATTGAACACGATCCATTTTCTCTCAGAGGGGTTCACTGTGTTCAGTGCTACTTTAAGTGCGATGGTAGCGTTGTAGTACTAAGGAAGAACGCAGTATGAGCCTCCGGCCGTTGCCAAATTTCTTTCAATAATATATGGATTTTGCGGGGTTTACGGGTTTTTTGCCTTAAGTGATAGGTGGAAAATACATTTACGTAAGGGAATATAAAAACAGGTCAATCTTCTTCATCCTCTACAAATTGCCGAGGTTATGGGACTTGAAAGTCGAGCCGTGTGACTATTGGCTCTAGCAATCATAGTACCTATTCATTTACCATTCGGATCTTAATCTACCGAAGCTCACCAGAGAGGGAATAGACTCGTGGGAAAAACCTACATAGGAGGTGTATTTATGGGAGAAACCGGCACCACTGTGAGCCTTCCAGCCACTTGATTATGCAACCGTCTCGTCGCGCAAATAATATAAGCGCTAAGCCAAGTGTCGGAAAAACAGCTGGGATCGCAAAACCCGGATGCCGTGTGCCGGTCTCCTGGCAGGTGAGTCTCTTTGGTGAGTCTTCGCGAGTCTCCGGGTCGATTTTTGAATCGATAAAAAACCCTTGCGGGGATGGAGGTTTATCGATAAAGGTTATTCGATAACGATTCGATTTTACGAGCTCTCACGGGGAATTGGACTGTCACGTCGCTCCAAAAAATCCAACGCTGTGCGCGATTCTCTCATTTTTCCCGAGAGGTTAATGGCCTCGAAGGGCCTTAAAGTTGCTTCCCTACGTCATCGTTGCTGGCTACGTCCACGTCGCTCTTTTGAAATTCTCCGAGGCGAAGGTGAATGAGGACGATGAACCTGGGCTTAAGTAAAAGGAACGATTTATTTACAGATTGAGGGCCACGTCCCATGGGCCTTAATATTGACGAATGACAAGCTCATAGAACTCTCAAATGGACTGCATTACGTAAAAATGAGCCGCTAATTCAAGCCCGTCGATAAAAGCACCTATCTGCTCAGGCGAACTGATGACACATGAGTCGTTCCTGCTATAAGCTAGAAATAAAAATTTTACGGGTACTACACTCCAGTTTTTGACCGCAATCGACAGAAATATATATATTTTGTTAACGAAAGCGAACCATAAATAAGAAATCATCGATAAGCTGGATCAAATTCAGCAGAAAGAGGCCAAGTCATGTTTTAAATATAAAAAAATAATGAATATGAATTATTTTGAGCTTTACTGGTGTAGCTCCTGATTTTCAATCTCCTCACAAAAAATCAAACCCTACGAAAAGTGTTCTGTATTTTAAACACATGCTAAAAGCTCATTTTTTACAGTAAATTGTACAGGTGAAACCGTTGATGTCTTCGTTGATTTTTCAACTTATTTGTCAACTAATTTGATTTCTTTTTGCCAAATGTGGACGAATTTTCCAGGAGCTTCGACTTGAAACTAAGAGGCATTTATAGTGAAGAAACATATAATTCGAAACATAATTCAGACCCTTGAACTTGAACTTTTAATCGAGAATTGTACACCTGATAAAATAATTGAACGATTGATTGATCACGGTCTTCGGCTTTGTTGGCGGCATTTCACGTGTGAATACGAAGGGAAAAATTTATGGAGTTTCAAGATATTGACTCGACTTCATTAAGGAATCGAGTTTGAGGATATTCAAAAGTACTTTTTACGGCCACTCGCGTCCTTAAATGCGGCGCACGGATTTGGAGCAAAACAGGTCGAAGCAATTGATATTCTTGACTAAAATAAACCCCCATGGAGGCGGAGCCGTGGAAATAACGGTGACCGTGTTCCGAAAAACATATTTCAACGGGAAAATCCTGGGCGTAGAAAATAAAGAAATGTCAGTTCACGTTGGAGCTAACGCTTTTGAGCCCAACGGATTTGAATTTTATATTGGGACTTGAAAGTTGTACCTGTTCGGCCATGATAGCGTAAAGAGCAGTAATTGGATTTCTGTATGAGCCATGATTAGCACACGCTTTATGTGTCTCGAGGTTCATCCCAGCATGTATAGGTACTTATTGCTCTCTTCGCTATCACGGCAGTGTTCCTTACGACTCTTCACCTTTAGAGTGTCGGGGCTTCCAAAACTCTTGAGCCGCTCGCGATACAAGTGTTTATCGAATCTCAGAATACACACTTGTGTCAAGTTGAATGGGGCTCGACTAAAGCTGCAACTTCAAGTTTTTCCCGAAAATCTCAACACGCGTCAGATTGTTTTTGTTCTCCTGGGTAGTTACACGGTTTAAAACATTTTTTCGAAGTACTTGTCCACCATCTGGAGAGCTTTGAAAGCGTTCTCGGCTACGAATAGCACTGTTTAGTTTCGAGTATTATTTAAGCCGAATGGCGGAAAGGTTTGCCATTCAGTTGCCACTCGCGCGCAGCAGCATTTGCAGGGTTGCCATAATTTCTCAAAAATCAAATTCTTTGACTATTATTGCCTTTTCCTGACTCCGAGAACTTCGAATTCCTAACATACTGATAAAACTTTCACTCGAATTTTTTACCTTTAAATTACATTTACTTCTGCTAAACGCACCTTGGCTACAGGGTTGCCACAGAATTTAGAAAATGATATTCCCTGACATTTCCCTGAATTCCCTGACAATTGCAATTGTGACGAATGGTTAAGAAGGCATAATTGAAAATAGGTTTTGGGCAAAATGTCTTGTGCAAAATATCAA